TAACATCACAACATCACATTTGAAATCATGTTGATTTTTGGAGAAAAGAAACAACAATGATATATAAATGATATTTATAATAAAATTATAAAATGATATACATTTATATATTTTCTGCTCCCATATCTTGAATTTTGTGATCATTCGAAATGTATTTTAGTAAACTGAATCATACAGTGAAAGAAAGCACTGTAAATGCGCACACGCACTAGTCTAACCTACTACACTTCATCACACACTGTTTCTCTGGCATTTTCAAAGGCACGTAACATAAAATACTGTGGCTTGGCATGATACACAGTGTAATGGTCTAACGAAATCCAGTTTTAAACATCTTTTACTGTACCCATTGTATGGCCCTTATATGACCTATTTGAGCCAATGCAGATGAATGAAGTTTTCTCAGGACGAGACCGCCCTGATTGTAAAGCAAAATGTGATTGGCTATAGCGAGATCGTGCTACGATTGGTCAGCGAATGTGGCTGTTATCTGATTGGCTTGAGAAGATGGTGGGTGGAGTCCACGTATTTGTGGATTTGTGGCACGTCTTGACGCAAGAAATGTTTCACAATTCGCAAATGCACAGGACGCGATTCACAAATGCGTGCAGCTATCTACAAATGCACAGGACGCGATTCACAAATAAATGCCAGGCAAAGTTGTGGTTGTGACATAAATATATATTTGTGAATATGTTTTTTATTTGCAAATCTCATTTTATTTATTTGTGAATTTAATTCATGTTTGTGAAACTTTAAGATTTATTTGTGGATCTCATTCTATTTATTTGTGGATCATAATCTATTTATTTGGAATTAAGCAACAATTCTATCTCCATACATTGGCTTTCACTTCTTGTCAGTATACGTTCTTTGATAGAACTCAGCACCGGACAAAAAGCGGTGCGTGGATTCCAACCTAAACACATCTGATTGGCCATTGCGTTGTAGAAATCAACAAACATGTCTGTGATTGGCTACTTTGCTCCCCTCTGCGAAAATGTATTGTAAAATCATCAAGAAAACAGATCCTAGACCAGGAGTTATGGGCAGCTTTTCCATCTAAAAGCAATCAGTTAGACTATTTTACACTATGAGTTAGACTATTATACACGCAAAACTAGAATCCGGCCGTTCGCCTCGGTCCGTAGGGGGGGCACAGGGATGTCCATGGCCCCCTGGCCCCCCCTCTGGCGCCGGGCCTGTGTTACAGTGAGAGGATTCGCGAGCGTGCAGAGCAAAATCCGGCTGGTGAGTGAATTCTGACTCATTTGAACGCAATGGCCAATCACAGGTGTTCAAGAATCAACAGATCAGTCTTTACCAAATCTGTTACGCCAATATCCTCTTATTACATTTTCAACTTAGTCTGCTTTTCACTGTGGGAGAAAATGGATTTGTGGCATGCAATGGGGTCCATTGCATAGCAATAAATGATCAGATTTGTGTGTTATTAAACTCCATGAGCCATTACCATTTTGATAATTTTTAAGTTCGAATTTGTGAACAACAACAACTCAGGCTTGCCTTCCAGTGGCTTTGGTTTAAAGACTGAATGGTACATGGGTGTTTCTTCAACTTTGGCACCTTTGGCACAGTTAACATTTTGAAAATGTAACTCCCTAACAAGCAGTAAAAATGTCCACATTCAACATTTTACCGTCGTACGGCCACACAGTAGCCATAGTCTGTTTCAGTTGATCTTTACTGCTTGTGATTTCATGTGTTTTGCAGCAAATGTTTCAAGTAAAGCCATAAAATGTCACATAGTCCATGGAAAGCTTTTTTAGTTAGAATTTTACACCACTGTAACTAGTGATGGGGAAAGTTACTTTTAAAAGTAATGCATTACAATATTGCGTTCCTTCCTAAAAATTTTACTAATTACGTTACTTAGTTACTTTTTATTGAAAGTAATGCGTTACATTACTTTTTAAATCTGGGCTGGGCTTGCTTGTTTGCTTTTAATATAGTTTAATATAGTAAAAAAGTTATATTTTTGGCAAATATAAAAGCCCTTTCACACTAAAAGCCTCAGGCTGAAGGAAATGTAAATTCACGTCTGTACAGTATACACAGAAGAAGAAAGTTCAACACTCTTCAGCAATAAAAAAAAGAAGAAATGTTAGTTTATCTTGTGTAATTTTTTACTTATTAGTATGGTTGAATTGGATCACTGAAGGTCAGCTGCAAATTGGTTCATAAAATAGGATTAAATACATAAAGGATATTTGTATTATTTAACATATTTAATTATTGCAGCTTTGAGTCATATTCTGAGTTGCTTTTAACTGTTTTTATTAATTTTGAGGAAAACTAAATCAGATTTTTTTTTTGTGAGTGAGTGAGATGAATTAAAGCATGTTCACATTTATTCTAGAACTAAAGTAACATCTTACTCCCGATTTCTCTCAACAAGGGGACAGGAGAGCTTTCAAACAATACATGGGGGGAAAAAAGTAACTGGCATTACTTATTTGAAAAAGTAACTCAGATATTTTCTTGTAAATTAAAAAGTAATGTGTACTAGTTACTTATAGTGCTTTACCCCCAACACTGACTGTAACCTTACTAAATATTTCCATCGTGCTAGTTCAGACGCTTAACCTCTAGTCAACCACAACCTCGATAAAAACAGGAAGTTGCGTTTTCAGAGAGCAAGTTTGTAGAGCTGTTTAAATGGTTATGTAGGACACTTGGACACACACACATGTGCACATTATGTGGAAGCACTGGCAATCGCAATATTACAAAGCGAATACGTGGTCGAGTAACTTAAAGGGGTCATTAGAAATCAAAATCAAAATTAAGAGGTCATTGTACTAAACATCAGGACTCAAACCTTTCTTGTTAATCTAAAAACAGCTTCTATTAAAATGGACCTCAGAGAACAGTACAAAATAATAATAAAAAAGGCAGTTCACGACCCCTTTAACGCTTTTAAATGAAATAGTGCATTTGCGGAAATACATCACGATCTAGGATATATCTCAATACCCAGCTACAGTAAGCCACGTGATCTTGTGACTCCTGCTCCGGGAAATCACACTCCGGGCCCTCCTTCCCCAGCATGACACACCTCCACCCAGCGCGAGTTATCATAAACCTTCGCACTGCATTCATACAGGCGCTTTAAACTGACGGATCATCATCGGACTGGCAGTTTTAAGGACGTATACTTCTGAAACGGTAAGTCTTGTTTTTTTCGCAATATTTAGAAGACGAATCTTCCATGGATAAATTACCTTAGGACTGCTACATTCATCTAACTTGCTTAGTTGTGAATGTGTCATGATGAACGAATGTAAAGCACGGAGGACGATGCATTTTTGTAAGCGACGCGGAACAGCCTGCCTTCATATGCAAAACACTGACAATCGTTGCAGTTTTCAGTCGTGGAAAACTGTCGCAGTCTTTTCGTACTTTAAATGAACTTAATATGATCACGATCTTTATACGCAGGTTTTCAGATCAGATGAACAGCAGTTTAATTTGTGTAATGGTCGTTAATCGCAGGCTATTCTTCTGTCGTGGTACCAGTGCCTTTAGCCAGTCCTTCCAGATGTCACGTGATCCTGCAGTTTTTATGGTCACTAAAGTAATAGATTAGATTAATGTAATTCTTTGAGTTCCGCCTTCATCTTCAGAGTACGATTGGTGCAGCTTGAAAGTGACCAGCCCTCCTCTTGACGTCCCAGCATGTGGATGATGTGATTGATTGATTTGAGACAAATGTGTTTGTTTTATAGGTGTTGCTGTGGAGAGTGAACTTGTGTATGGCTAAATTTACATACTACATCCAACAGACACACAATATGGGTTTTTTTCTGCTCTGAATGCAGCCATAAATAATAGAACTGCTTATCTGCTTATGGCCTAGAATAGTTATTTCAAATGTTAATTTGATCACTTTTGTCTGGCATGGTCAGATAAAACGTGTAGGATTATCTACAAGCTTACAATAGTTATACATCAAGACTAAAAAAAAAAATCCTGTGTAAGAAATGCAACGTCTCGATATGATATTATGACCAATATATAACTAACTATATTATATCTAACATCAAGTCTCCAATTTATGTTAAAACAGTACAACTATGTGACACAGTACACCTTGCTTAATTTCAAATTAATATACTGTTTGTCAAAAAGCAACAATGTCATAGATGACCGGGTAGCACCTAATCCAATAATCCTTTGAGATTTGTGTGGCAGTAAATGACAAATTAATAAATAAACACCAGAGAAAGGTGATGTCCATTCGAATTGATGCAGAGTCTGAAGGGGTTAATGAAAAATTACGCTTGATTCTTTGAAGAACAGGTAGATTGCATGACATTTACATTATCTTTAACTGAATTTGCCAGCTAAACTACAGTACCTGATATCACTAGTTTAGGGTAAGGAGCGATGAAAGGGTTGGGCAACAGTCTTAGATGATGGTGTAAACATTGTTGTCTGATTGACAGATTTTTCCTGTTCCAAACTAAAATCTATAATTTTGACTTGATGAAATCAAGGACTTCTCAGCATTTTCTCAGTTATAATCCCAGTTTTAAAAGACAACGAGCTAAGTGTCGTCGTCTGACCCTTAGCAACGCTATCATTAATTCCTCCTAAAGAGATAAGAAGCTGAGGTGTATTTGCTCATGAAAGCTAACACTGCTGACTTTTAGATTATTGGATTTTTCATGCATAATACAAACTGACATAAACAAAGTAAGCTCTTTAAGGTAGCGCAGAGTGAATAAAAGCCATCATAAATGTTTATTCACATGGGAATAATATCACATGACCCTAGTCGCATGCACAGATTATCACTATATCTCTGCCATTTTGGTCACTAATCTCTACATTTCTCCAAATTAGACTTTGTGAGGAGTACCAGTTGGAAGAAATATGGATGCTGATCAGCTGCTCGGTGCCTCTATCATCAGGATCCCACCTCACCACTACATCCATGTGTTGGATCAGAACACCAACATTGCGCGGGTGGAGATCGGCCCTCTTACCTATATACGCCAGGACAATGAGAGGTAACCTAGAAAGCTGCAGGTTAACTACTGTATCATGTAACAGCCCTTGAAATACAGGTTCCCATTGGTTTTATCCTTTTAGATTCTGCCTAAATACATTTTTTTATTGATTTTAATGTAAATATTGTTATATTATTAATGATAATAAACTGGGGCATTATATGTATGTAGGACATTTACACTTTAGGAGTGTGTCCAATTTTAAGCTGTGATGAAAGAGAGTGTTGCTAGGATACATGAGGTGTAATCAAGCCTATTTTCAATCCTCCATTGCCCAGAATCCAAACAACAGCTAGAATTAACTATTTATTAATAGTGTTTAGGTCAATGTTTTGTTTCATATATTTATTTTTGTTTAGTCTATCAGTTTCTTTTTCACTCTTCTTTACAAAACTTAATCTAAAACTTTTTTCAGTTATTTCTACAAATTCAAGAGTTCAAAAAAAGTTTTGGGTTATTAAGATTTGTTTGTGAAATAAGTCTCTCATGCTCACCAAGGCTGTATTTATTTGATCAAAAATACAGTGAAAACAGTTATACTGTGAAATAATATTACAATAAAAAAGTTTTCTATTTTAATATGTTTTCGTAATGTATTCATATGATGGCAAAGCTGAATTTTCAGCAGCATTACTCCAGTCTTCAGTCTCACATGATCCTTCAGAAATCATTCTGATTTGCTACTCAAGAAACATTTCTTACTGTATTGTTTCTTAGTGTTAAAAACAGTCATGCTGCTTAATATTTCTATGGAAACTGTGTTATAATGTTATTTCAAGATTCTTTGATTAATAGAAAGTTCAAGAGAGCAGCATTTACAGTGCCTTACAGTGTCTGGCTCCAGTTTACTTCTCAGACCTTATTTGTCCATACCCCCC